CATATACTTAGTATTTTTAATGTGCAGTACCGAATGTGTCGAGGTATTATGGAACTATCAAATGCCTTGATATATGGAGACAGATTGTACTGTGGTTCCGCTGAAGTAGCTAATGCCACACTTGTTCTTTCTACTTCCACTTCTAAATCGCCATGGCTTAGAAAGGTCAGTGTGTTGTTCTTATACGTTTACAATACTTGTGTTGTGCTTTCACTCTTCGTAGGCTTTGTCGACTAATAATCTAATTAGCATCTTAATTGTTTTTTTTTGTCATTAGGTTCTGGAGCCAACCAAAACAGTTGTATTTATTAATACAGGTTCGTGGCTACTTACTAGTTGCATTCTCTTCACATTAGCTCTTTTACCATATGGATTTGGATTTTTTCACGAGATGATATGATATGGTTTTCCAGATATGCTGCGTGCTTTCGAAGCCAGGGATCAAAATGCGATCAACAATCCAGTTGAAGCTTCCATAATAGCTGAGGTACTGAAAAAAAATATGAAAGATGCATTGAAAGTAAAAGAAAACGCGGGCTTACTTTAGTACTGCTTTACTTAGATTGTGGAGGAGCTAGTTAACAATGGAGTAGATAGTAAAGATATTGGAATCATTACTCCTTATAACTCACAAGCGAGCCTCATTCAACACGCAATGCCAACGGCGTCTGTGGAGATACATACTATTGACAAGTATCAGGTTTGTCTCTAAGACTCTTAACCATTCTTTTTCTCGAGCATTTTGATTTGGTAAGCGTGTATTCTTCAAAAGCCAACCCTTTTTGATGAGATCACATGGTTTAGGGAAGAGATAAAGACTGCATAATAGTATCCTTTGTGAGATCACGGGAGAAACCAAGGAGCTCTGGTTCTTCACTGCTGGGGGATTGGCATAGGATCAACGTTGCTTTGACACGAGCAAAGGTGAGAGAGAGAGGAAGAGCATATGGTGGTGTTGAGTAATGTTTTTTTTTTCAATTGTTGACACATTGTTTTTGTTTGGCACAGAAAAAGTTGATAATGGTGGGATCACAAAGAACATTATCAAAAGTTCCACTTCTGATGCTTCTGCTGAAGAAGGTTAAT